GACGGAGCCACGGGATCCCCCTCCCCCGCCTTATAACACCCGCTACCGAGGGGCACCTCTGCCCTCAGAGCCCACTCAGGAGCCTCACATCCTGCAGGGAGGACAAGCCAATCTCTCCATCACACACACACACACACATTCCTCCTCAGCTGGGTCTTGGCTCCACCTGCTGGACAAGCAGGGACAGGCCTTTCCAAATGCAATCCTCTCACCAACACGGGCAGACACCCATGGGTTCCCACCTTCCTGGGAGGAAGTTTAAAAGACTAGGATGCTCTCCTCCCTCCACACTTCCATTCCAAGGAACATCTTTTCATTCGGAATGCCTGTGTTTTTTTTAAAATCTTATTTCTGTAGCGTCATATTCGCACAAGGAGTGAGTGGAAGAAAAAACAACAGTACAAACCTTTCACTTTCAACAAAGATTGCTTCTCTTTCCTCAGCAGATTTCAAACACAGTGAACTTGGCATGACAACTTCAAAGGATTCACATTCTGAAACGAGGACGCACTGCTTGATGCTGACACATTCACATTTACAATACGGCAAATAACACCACAATCCTACTTTATCGCATGGCCACTCCAACAGGAATGCCTATAAATGCCACGTGCTCAAAACAGCCCCAGGAAGGCATCTTTATTTCCGCTTACGGTGCCTGGGAATGGCTGCAAATTGGCATCTTTCACAGGGAAGACGAGCACTCGCCCATGCTGCTCGCTGCATCAGCTTCACAGATAGACCTGCTACAACCAACACTCTCTGCTTTCTGTCAAAAGGCCACAAAATCAGCAGCTTCGACACGGTCAGAGAGTCGCCTCACAGGGAACCTCAGGGCACCCGTCTCCAGGACGCCCCTTCAAAGGGCTGCAGGGGGTGCACAGCCCACAGCCAGAACAGTGACTTCAGGGAATTCTCTAGCATCAAGGGTTCTCTCTCAGCACGGATATTTCTCTCTCCCCGCCCCCTCCCGCCCTCCCTCCTGCCCTCTCTCCCTCCCGCCCGCCCTCTCTCTCACTTCCTTTCTAAAATAATACAAATAACTTCCTACCTAAATAAAAACATTGTTTCTGTAACAAGCCATTCAGCACAATCTTTTTCTCCTGCTACTAACACGTTCCCATTGCAAAAAATGGCTCCCCCACGCTCAGGCCAAGCTCCCCGGGCTGGGCCCAGGGATGAAGCTGGCAGCCACATAATTCAAGAGTAACTCACCTTTTTTCCGTAAATATGTATTTTCATATTTTCTTAATCCTCACCAGGAGTGAGAATATTTTTCCCATTGATTTTTAGAGAGTGGAAGGGAGGAGTGAGGAAGGGGAGAAGAGAGAGAAAGAGGCAGGAGAGAGGGAAACATCGACGTGACAGAGACACATCTACTGGTTGCCTCCCACACGTGCCCTGACTGGGGATGGGATCAGACCTGCAGCCCAGGTAAGTACCCTTGACTGTGAATCAAACCTGCAAGCCTCTGGTGCATAGGACGATGCTCTAACCACTGACCAATGACGGCCAGGGATGCATGTCCATATTTTATATTTTTTTAATTTACAGTAATTTAATGTCTGAGAATTTTTAGTGTTTGCAAAGCTAAATTTTCAATGATAATGAAAAATTAAGCAACCATTATTGCCTACATGGACTTGTATTAATTTTTTTTTTATTTTAGGCAATCAAAGATCCCTGCATTATGGCCACTTTAAGATGAGATTTCTAGTGAAATCACCTTATTTCTGTAAAGTGCTTGCCAGTAAAAGGATTCCTATCAGGAGTATTATTGAAGGCTGGGGTCTGGGAGCTTCCAGCCTTGGAGGCACAATTTCCCATGTAAATTGCAGTGGGGTTCTTTGAACATTGGCAGTCTGAGCAAATTCTCTAGGGCGGCTATGTAGTGGGTCCAAGTGTGCAGCTTACAGGTTGAGCTCTTTGAGGCTCTCAGCCCTTGAGTGGTATTCAACCCTCTTCTGTGCCTCGGTTTCTCTCCTCAGCTGTCTAATACAGCCGTGAGGGCTGGGAGCACTAGGTGACCAACCTTTATATGTGTGTCCCTGGATGAGTCAATTTCTTCATTAGAGCTGAGTTGGAGGTTCCCTGTGGAGCCCTTACAGGTCATGAGGAATAACCTCTGACACCTCCACCAAGATTTTTAGTTTCCTAAGAGCATGAGACATTCAGGCTGGAGAGAGGACGTGCCCCTTATCTTAGGAGCTGAACTACTTCAGCTCTCATTTACACAGCAAAGGCATTTGTTCAAACTCTCAGAAAACAATTCAAATGGAAAAGCCAAATTTAAAAACCAGGCACCCATTTTTCCTGTCTCACCTCATAGCCTGGGTTCTGATAACCCCTAACCTTGTCAGGTTAGCAAGTGGCCTGTTTTCATCCACAGAGTGAAACAAAGGAAGGGATCACAATAGAAGAGACAAGATCAAGGGGCCCTTGGAGACAGGTTCAGGGAGCTAGCCGGACGAGGTGCCACTGCCCACTGCTCCCCCATTGCAAGTCTCACAGGGACAGGGACCTTTAGAGCTTAGAAGAAACAAAGTAAAAACAGGAAATAAGAGAAGGGAAGACACAGGAGTGAGGAACAACGCACACCTTTGTTTTAAGGGTTTTACCTGTTTTATTTATTTGGGTTTTTAAATACAGTTTTATTGATTTCAGAGATAGGAAAACAGAGGGAAAAAGAGAGAAACATCCATGTGAGAGGTATATCCATCACAAACGGTGAGATTCATCAGTTGCCTTTTGTTGAACCCACAACCTGGGCATGTATCCAGACCTGGAATTGAACAGGTGACCTTTTGACGCATGGGACGATGCTCAACCAAGTTAGCCACAATGGGTAGAGCAAAGGTTTTACCTGTTATGGTTTTGTTTTCTTTTGTTTTTTAATCCTCACCCAAGGATATTTTTTCATTGCTTTTTAGAGAGAATGGAAGAGAGAGGGAAAAACAGAGAGAAATATCGATGTGAGAGAAACACATTGATTGGTTGCCTCCTGCACAAGCCCCGACCAGGGCCTGGGCCAGGGAGGAGCCTGCAACCGAGGTACGTGCCCTTGACCGGAATCAAACCCGGGACCCTTCATCCACAAGCTGATGCTCTATCCACTGAGTCAAACGGACCAGGGCAAGGTTTGACCTGGTTTTTAAAGGTGACAATTTTAGGGGAGGTCTCAATGGAATATCTCAATAGAATATTTATCAACTCTCCAAGTCTGTCCTTTGCTATGCTGATGCATTACAAAGAGCATAAACAGTGATAAGAGTCATTCTCTGATCAGTTTCACCTTTAAAAATGTCACTGGAAAGGGATCTGAACCAAGGTGAATCTGCCCAGACATTGTCTGGAACGTGTACCCCATTTGCTTCTAAGCATCCTAGGTTAGGGAAGATACGTTTTTGTGATTTATTAGTTGTGCCTATAAATTACTAGGCCCTGTTACAGTCTCAGATTTTCCATTCCACTTGCCAAGGACTTTTCCTAGGTTTTTCATAACCAGCCACAACTCTATAAACTTGGGAACTCTTATTAGTGTTGAATTCAACGCCATGACCATCAGTGGACAGACACTAGATGCCATAGCCATAATCAGGACCCCAGACACACACCCTGCACTCCAGAACCTGGACCCTATAGAGAACCACACACCAAAACCTGGATGCCCCAACCCTGGGACTCAAACTCAAATGATTCCCCCGACTCAAACATGCTATGCAGCACAAAAGCCAGAAACTGATACCAAAGACTGACAGAGGATTCTGAACAAGAGATTCCACACACCGGCATCTGAATCTATAGTTGCACTCAGACCCCACACAAGAACTCAGGACACAAAGCCACACCCAAAGACACCCAAAACCTCAGACACACACCTGAATACATATTTGACCCAAAACCACAGACCCTGGACATAAAGCAGAGATCTATGACTAAGACGCATTAGCCACAAGCCAGAGCTGGACACACACACCAGACCTCAGTTGCCAGACGCCAGATGCATGAACTGAACCAGATCCTCATGTTGCACAAAAACCCGTGATTCAATAAAGAGAACCCATGTCACTCTAAGTCCAAGCAGCTAGTTTCACAAATACGTTTTTTTCATGCCAATGTCAATGTATAAGAGAAAAAAATAATTCCAGATTTTCAAAATCCTACCAAACCCTGCAGTGTCACACACATAAGGCTAACAGAATGGAAAAGTAATGATGCTGCTTACCTTTGCTGGCAGCTGTCCATGATCTCTCGGCTTCAGCGGTGTCAGAAGTTAGCTGTGTCCCAGCCAATAATTACACAAGGCCGGCTCTTCAAAACTGTGGGAGATTTAAAAAGCAATTATTTGCCTCATACCTCGTACATTCTAACAGCTGGGCTAATAACCAAATTAACATGATCAAATTGACATGAGATGCACTACATCTAATATATGTACAAGGAAAACTCACATACAAATGAATGCCAAAGACAAGAAGGCAATATTACGAACAGGAAATGTTGGAAAATGGGGAACTAGAGTCTTAGACTGTGGAGGTGAAATGGGTGATATTTAGGAAAAGTGCAGGATATGTGGTTAGTTAATTTCTGTTAGGTGATCTCAAAAACTATAGGATGGGAAGAAGGAGTAAGATATGAGTATCAAGAAACTCCTGGTAGCCTGGCCAGTGTGACTCAGTGGTGAGCATTGACCCATGACCCAGGAAATCATGTTCGATTCCCAGTCAGGACACATGCCCAGGTTGTGGGCTCTATCTCCACTAGGAGGTATGCAGGAGGCAGCTGATCCATGATCGTCTCTCATCATGGATATTTCTCTCTCTCTTTCCCTCTCCCTTCCTCCCTGAAATCAATACAAATATATTTGAAAATAATAAAGGAAACATCTGAAAAAGCAAATGAATGAATAACAGCTACCCTGACCAGATAGAAAAATATATTGTGTTATAAAGCTACAGTAATTTAAAAACTTGGGTAATGTCCTGTGAAGAGAAAAGTTGATGGAACAGAATGCAAAGCCAAGTAATAGACTGAAATACATATGGAAATTTGGTGTGGTAACATCTCCTTAGAGCAGTGGAAAACAGTGTTGGAACAACTGAATGGGAAAAAATGTTGAAACAGAAGCAACTCATTTCACTCATAACTACTATAAAAACTAAAAGCTACCTAAAACATAAGGGTACAAAGAGATCAAAAGTGAAAGAATGGAAAAAGATATATTAAGCAAACATAAACTCAATAAAAATTATACGATAACACACAAGTCTTAAAGGCAAAAGCTTAACTATAACTAAAGAAGATCACTTCGGATCAATAACTTCATTTTACCAGGAAGATCCAAATTCCCAAGCACTTCATAACATGGAATCAAAGTACAGAGAAGAGAGCTACAAGGGGAACTAGACAATTCTATAATCATAATAAATTTATAACCATAATACATATAACACACCTCTCTCATTCTGAGACAGAGCATACCTCTTTCAGAACCAATAGCCCCCCACAAAGACCCCAGTAAAGATGTAAACACTTCAACAACCTGAGCAGCAAACTGTAGTCAAGGTTCTGAGACCCACTGTACCCAACAACCTTACCTGCTGAAAGGCACGAAGGTGTTATTCCCAAGTTGCACACGAGGTGGCAGCAGAGGGGCACACTTCAATTATAGTTGATGAGACCACGCAGTGCTATGAAGCAAGTTTCAACAAACTTCAAAGAAATGAAATTATATACAGTACGTTTCTTGTTGTCATTGCAGTTAATCTACAAATCAGGAACAGAAGGCACCTAAAAACTCCTAATATTTAAGATTTATCAATTACACTTCTAAATAACCCCCAAAATACATCACAATTCAAGTTAGAAAATAATTTGAAGTAAATGATAACAGTACATACCAAAACGTATGCTGAAAAATGTGCACTCATTTATGCACATATTAGGAATAAAAGCTGAAAATTTACATGTTTTGCATCCGTATCAGAAACCTAGCCTGTCCGGTGTAGCTCAGTGGTTGAGCATTGACCTGTGAACCAGGAGGTCACAGTTTGATTCCAGGGCACAGGCTGGGGTGGTGGGCTCCATCCCCAGTGGGGGGCCTGCAGGAGGCAGCCGATCCATGATTCTCTCTCATCATAGATGTTTCTTTCTCGCTTCCTCTCTGAAATGTATATACCTAAAACAGTAAAATAAATGCAGAGAAAACAGAACAAAGAAAATGTGTGCATGTATAGATGTCTGAAGGGGGATATACGTAAAACCATAGCAGGTTTTATTTTTTTACTCTTGGGGTAGAATTTTGAATTATTTTTCTGCATTATTTAAGTAAACTGCAACAAACAAAGGCATTTTCATTTTAGGAAAAAGTGTCCTAGAGGAAAACATGGGATAATCTATAATAATAAAAGCATAATATGCAAATCGACTGAATGAACAAACAGCAGAATGACCGTCCAGACAACCTTCCGGACAACCACGCTATGACACGCACTGGCGCCAGGCCAGCCAAGGCAGGAGCAATACGATTGGTTTGGGGGCCCCACCATTGCCCCACAATCACCCTGCAGAGGGAGGCCCCAGCCCCCGGCTGGCAGGATGATTGATGGGGGGTGAGGTGGGGGTGGGGCTCCACGGTCGCTCCAAAGAGGGAGGCCCAGGCCAGCCAAGCCATTGCACCACACCCTGTCGCCCGCAGAGGGAGGCGACAAGTGGCGGGGGAGGGGGACAGCGCAGCACAGATGGCAAGCAATGGCAGCGGCAGGGGGTGGGGCCAGCTGCCAGCAGCCCAGCAGCCGGGGAAGGAAAGTACCGAAAGGTCCTAATTGCTGGCCAGGCCTAGGGACCCTACCCAAGGGGTCCCAGATTGCAAGAGGGTGCAGGCCAGGCTGAAGGACACACACCCTCAGCACGAATTTCATGCACTGGGCCTCTAGTCCTATCCTATCTAATAATAGCCAAACATGGTAATTGACCGTACCTTTGCTACACCTCCCATTGGCTAATCAGTGAGATATGCAAAATAACCACCAAAAAAGATGGCGGCTAATTTGCATACTGCCGGCAGGGCAGGACCACATGAGCCACCAGCGCAAGCCACCATCCAGGCCCCCGTGGGCGACGCCAGAAGCCGCCTGCCTGCCACCCGGGACCCGATCCGGTCCCGGGCCGCAGGCACACTGGCCCTGCAAGCCCCAGGAGCCACCTGCCTGCCACCCTGGAAGCCCCAGAAGCTGCCAGTCACTCTATTAGTAAGCACTCTGAAAGTCAGTGGCATAAATGCACCAATTAAAAGACAGATTATGAAGGTGAATCAAAAACAAAACCCACTTTAAATATAAAGACACATATACATTAAAAGTAAATAAATTAAGCTGCAGCCTGTTTTGCTCAGTGGATAGAGCATTAGCCCTTGAACTGAAGGGTCCGAGGTTAGATTCCAGTCAAGGGCATGTACCTCAGTTGCTGCCTTGATCCCCAGTCCCTATCAGAGCATGTGAAGGAGGCGACCAATCAATGTGTCTCTCCCTTTCCCTTCACTCTCTCTAAAATTCAATGGAAAAATATCCTTGGGTGAAGATGAACAAAAACAAAGTAAATGGATTAAGTAACATTAAAGAGATTATAAGAAAAATATATTCCAAATTTTGTTAGTTGTATAATGGTTATATTTAAATTATTAACATCTAAGAAATTGGGTGAAGGGTACATATAATATGCTGTAGTATTTTATAGTTTTTTTACATGTATGAGATTATTTCAAATTAAAATATTAGAAAATTAAAAATAAAATATTAATTGAAATGTATCTGCATTACATGAAAAATCTCCTAATTGCTTCTAGCATAATTTATTAAATTATGCTAAAATTTACAAGGGTTCAATTAAAAAATATCTTAATTCTAAATGATATAATAGAAAATATATAATAGTGCAGTTATAAGCACTTATCTGAAAATAAAAATTTAAAGAAGTGAATTTAAAGGAGGGATTAGCCAAAGAAAATATATGCACAACCCATGGACATAGACAACAGTATGGTGATGGCCAGAGAGAAGTGGGGGGCAAGAGCTGGGTAGAGGGGGCAAAAGGGGGGAAATAGGGACATCCTATCCTATCTAATAATAGACAAACATGGTAATTGACCATACCTTCGCTACACTTCCCATTGGCTAATCAGGGCGATATGCAAATTAACTGCCAACAAAGATGGCGGTTAATTTGCATATGTAGGCACAATGCTGGGACGCGAAAGGGGAAGGACAGAAGAAGCCGCCTGTCGCTGATGGTAATTGGAAACCCAGGCGGCAAGCAAGAGCCAGGTGGCAGGGCTGCCTCTGCCCTGCCCGGCCCGTGATCGGAGAACCGGGGCCGCCTTTGCCTGCCCCCCAGCTGGTGTTCGAAGAAGTACCTGTATTTTTTTTTCAAAGTACCTGTATTTTTAATAATTTCTTGACATGGTAAAACAATTTTACATTATGATCCAAGGGTGGTGGGGTGAGAAGGAGCAGCAGAACAATCCAACAAACAAAAAGGGAAACAGAAATGCATGGTGGAAGGGATTTGAAGGGTGGGTAGGGGCATTGCCCAACTAAAATCCAATTGGTTTGTTACTGAGTACTATTCATGGGAAGACAGCATCCTGACTGCTTCTCTATACAGCATATTGGGAGTAAAAATGATGCATCCAGATGGAAATATGATTAGGGGTTGGAAGACAGACAGGGAAAGAAGAAGTCAGAAATAGACACTGAGAGAGTCCCTGGCTGGCTGGCTGCAAATACTGACTCTCCAGTAGTGATAGAATAAAAAAGTGGGGGATATCTCTAGAAGATTCAAGAGATAGGGGGCAACTCTTCTATAGTTTTGACTTGCCCAGCAGATTTCCACATATACACGTGTACACGCCTATGTTTGCATGCACACACATATACACATAACTGACTGCCCTCCCTGGAAGCACAGAAGAAGAAGAAGCCGCCAGAAGAAGAAGCCGCCCACCTTTGGTCCAGGCGCCAGTGCCTGCGGCTGGCTGCAGCCCAGGAGACAGACAAGCCACCTGCCTGAGGTCCCAGGCTGCAGCCACCTGGAGAAGCTGCCAGCCCTGTGGTCCAGGGCACCAGCGCCTGTGGCCAAGGAAATAGGTTCCCTCTTCTCCTACTGCAGTCATTACTTCAATATTCCCCTTCTGAATTTCTCTCCTGTGCTGTAACCCAACTCCACTTTTCATCGGAAAGATACGGAACAGAGAGAGCAGTGTTAAAAGCTTACAGTTTTAAGCCAGTAAGGTTGGTACTTAAACATATAAATGGAAAACTAGAGTCCTTAAGGTAACAAAGGCTACAAAGGACAGGGACAGCTCATGACCTATTATACTCAGCAATCCATATGGGGACTGAAAACTTTGCAATGATGACAATTAGTGAAGATATGAATCAACTAAAATAGTTGACAGGGACAATTCTTCCATTTGTGAAAATATCTACATCAAATCTGTTTAAATAGATTTTCATCTGCAGAATAGAACACATTCTGACAAGACCACCACCACCACCAATGTGGTCAGTGTTGTGCCGATAAATGTTTAATAACTGAGGGCCACCCCCGCCGAGTGCACAAATTTTTGTGCACCAGGCTACTAGTATAATAATAATAAAAGGCTAATATGCACATTGACTGAACGGCAGAATGACCGGTTGCTGTGATGCGCACTGGCCACCAGGGGGCAGACGCTCAATGCAGGAGCTGCCCCCTGGTGGTCAGTGCACTTCCATATGGGGAGTGCCACTCAGCCAGAAGCTGGCTCATGGCTGGCCAGCGCAGTGGTGGTGGCAGGAGCCTCTCTCGCCTCCATGGCAGCACTAAGAATGTCCAACTAACAGTTTAGATCCGATCCCTTGGGGGCCTAAGCCTTTAGTCAGACATCCCCCGAGGGCTCCCTGGCTGCCAGAAGGATGTCTGACTGCAAGCTTAGGCCTGGTTCTCCAGGGAGTGGGCCTAAGTCAACAGGTGGACATCCCCCAAGGGGTCCTGGACTGTGAATGGGCACAGGCTGGGCTGAGGGACCCCCCCCCCAGCACAAATTTTTGTGCACTGGGCCTCTAGTTTATAAATAATAAGCTAGACTATTGTGGTGGCAACACAAGTCTTTGCTCACCAAGCTTGGCCTCCTCGTCTAAAAAGAATAGAAGCTCTTTCTAATTGTTTAGCCCAAAGTGGCTCCTTTCATAATCTGCACCTCTTTGTGTGCATTTCCAGCAGTTCTGAGAGGGAACTCCTAAGCTTTGGGTCCCTGGAATTCACCTGAGCCTGGTTCTAACATCTACGAGTGATGTTCTTTTGAACACAGAACAGACCTCTCAGGGTCGTCATTCTTTAAATTGTAAAATTCACACACACATGCTTTTTTTTGTTAATCCTCACCCAAGGATATTTTCTTCATTGATCTTTTAGAGAGAGTGGAAGGGAGGGAGGGAGGGAGAGAAACATCCACGTGAAGGAGACACATCAGTTGCCTGCCTCCCATACTCGCAGGGGATCAAACCTGCAACCCAGACACATGCCCGTGACTGGGACTCAAACCCAAGACCCTTCGGGATGGGGCCGATGCTCTAACCACTGACCTACACCGGCCAGGCCGAATCCCCATTTTATAGCTTTAACATTCGTTGCTGACAGACCGAGCCTCAACGCCTGGGCTCTGCCTCCAGAGAGCCTGCAGGGTGGGAGCGCAGCTCAGTGGACTGACAGGGAGGTGGCGCTCCGGGTGCTGGTTCAGCCGCAGGACGTGCCCGTGAAAAGTGGTCCCACAGGAAAGGCTCACTGATGTCCACCTGCCTCTCGAGTCAGGAAAAGTCCTGCTGGTCGTCCTGTATCTGTGACCTGCTGTTTGTCCCGTGTCCCAAAACCAGCTATTTTACGAGGTGTGTTGACCCAACTGATCTAAGGAGACATCTGTATCTGATACAATTTACTGACGGTTTGGGGTCATTTACTAACACTTTATGCTGTTCCATTAATTTTCACACAAGTTAATGCGAACAGCAATGAGGTAATATTGGAATACAAACGCTTTGGGAAA